TGCAAACTGTATATTTAAAAATGACCAAAGACTTCCGTTCACTACTTTTACAGTAATATAGAGCCAATGGCACAACATGTTTGGGAATATAGTATTCCTTAACCACCTAAACAGGAAGATAGATGGAGCACATTATTTTAAAAATAAAAAATTCTATACATATGACATTTTAAAATACTTTTAGCATATAAACACTATAAATCTAAAACAGAGAAATTGCATTTTCTGATTCAAATATAATAAAACGAAATGTGATATTCCTTCAATTACAAGTTAAAAAAAAAAACACAGTGAAGCCTTGGTTTGTGAGCATGACTCATTCCAGTAACATAGTTGTAAATCAAAACACTTGTATATCACAGTAAATTTTCTTATAAGCAATAATGGAAACAGATGTTTCATGCCACACAAGCAAAACTATTCATCTAATGATTATCACAGTACAGTAAAATAATGCAAAATAATAAAGAAAATAGAAAGAGAAATAAACGCATTAACCTGTAGTTGCCTTTGAAAACCTTCCTGGCTGCTATGAGCAGACAGCAGAGGGGAGGGTGACCGGATACTATGACTTTCACTATCAGTACTGGGCTGTCCACGGGCTCAGCAGAAGCTATTTTATGCAGCTTTAATGAGAAACCTACCCAGGAACACTTGCTTTTGTCCTCTTCTGAGAATTTCACAGAAATGTGAGATCCATTGCTCAACAGCCTCATTACCACGCTGCTGCAGCCTTCTCCTGGTGTGTTTCCACAAGAGATTGCATTGCTTACCACATTTTCCACATCTCCTTAATCTCATCTGAAGTGAGGGATTCCTCCACCTTCTTCTCCACCTCCTTTGCAGACGAGAGCCCTCCATAGCCTCTGCTATTGGGAGAGGGTGACTAACAGTTACAGGGGTGTGGGGAGACAGACGGAGGAATCATGGCCTCAGTTGTGATCACGTGACCTTTGGCATCGCATACAACTCACATTACAATGTGCACTGCTTGCTTATCAAGTTACAATTTATTAGAAATGTTCGCTCATCTTGTAGAACATTCATGGAACAAGTTACAATCCATCATTGTACGGTGTTTTAACATTATTAAAGGTTTTATTGACTACTCATCGAATAATAAAGAGCAAAGAACCAAAATATGCTTAGAAATATAGTATCTTCAACAACCTATTAAGAAGATATATATATATATATAATTTTAAAAATTAAAAATCCTGTACATTCTTAGAACATAAAATCTGTAGCTCTAAAGTGAGAAATAGTGTAGAAAATGCATTATCTGATTCTAATATAAGATAGATTAGACATGATATTCTTTTGGTTTCCAGATTTTAAAAAATTACACTTAAATTTCAGTATTTCCAAAAGCAACAACACCACAACCTATAAGACAGTTAAAACAAAATTCAGAGGAAAAATCATAGTCCCGAATGCTTATATTATTGCAAAATAAAAGAATGAAAAAAAATCTGATTACATAGGTCTGAAGCAGAACAACAAAGCTTTATATACTTAATGTTTTCTGTTCCTAAAGCTACAAGTGTCATTTGAAATTAAGTCTATTTTGTTAATAATGCTCAGAATTCAATCAGATTAGTCTGATCGAAATCAGAAATCAGTGAGCTTGGGAATATTAAAGGAAGGTCAAAGCATCGTGTGTCTGTTCTCTCTGATTTGTACAAAAACCCAGCAGAATTTGTTTCAAACATTCCCTAGCTCTCATTTTTAATTAAAATCTGCTTTGGGATATGACTTTAATAATTCAAAGAGAAGAGAAGTTCTTATGCTTTATTACTGTAAATCAAATCCTATATTTGCAGATAATTATGACAATGGTCAAATCTTATGGATTTATATCTGTTTTGTATATTAGGTAGATATTTAACTGGGAAATATTTATTTAAAAGAAACATTTTTCTTCCATTTTATCAGAAAGATAGTTTCCACTGGGTGTTCTGAAAGTCAACTGGACTTTTCAGAAGTTACTGATAAATGATATGTTTTACTTTAATTTCTTCTTGAAAAGTAATTTGTACCACACATCTACTATATACATTCTCTGTTTTCACGCTCCCTCTATCAGAATAGTCCTGGACTCTTCCCAGCAGCCTCTTCCTTTCTGGTGGCCCAAATCACAGCCCATCTCAAAGAACTATTCAAATCTTTCTATTTGCAGGAAACTTTTCCAGATGACTTGATGACACACTGATATATTTATTCTCTAATCCTCTGTTGTAGGGCCAGGATCACAAAAGCTGCTATTTGATGCTACGAGCAGAAATTATCATGCAAACATGGAGTTGCCAGGGATTCCAATATAGTTCAATTTTAGGATTGCTAAACTTCTTTGCACAGATCACCTGTGGTGTCTGATGGTCCATCAGAAATGATTATTTCATTTCAGAAAAGAGTGACTTCCCTTCTGGTTAAGGAAAAACTCACAGCATGCTAAGAAATATAATACATAAAATTCCCCTCGCATTGGCTCGCAATGACAGTTTTTATCAATTTCAAAATTTCCCAACCCAAAACTGCTGTTTCTGTGTAGTTTACAATGTTTTTATCATTTTCCCTGTACAATTGAACAATTCCTTATGGGGAAGAAATATTTCCTAAGACTCCATCTAGTACAGTATCTTAGGTATGCAGATGTTTCTAAAAACATGACTGCTGAAATGAAATATTGTTAGTTCTATTATTTTCTGTGATGTGAAAATGTTTAGATTTCATGGAGTAAAATATTATAAATATGGTAGTAGTTTGTAATGAATTAACCTTAGCATCGCTAAAATTTTATAACTAAATGGAGAAGAATGTTAAGTGGGGAATAAAAAGATCAGCAAGACTTAGTATTTGGATGAAAATTTGAGTGATTTCGCGTTGGTGTCCATCTAGGTTGTGCAACATCCTTCATTCAGTATCTCTGTGCTGATGAGCACAGCTCTCCTTGAGGAAGAAGCTGTGACGGGGAAGGCTTGGCTGTTACACATGTCTAGAACATTTGCTACTGCAGGATTGGAATGGAGAAAGCACTGGTAATGGATTATTAATGGAAAGGCTCTTTGGCCAGTGAAGTACTAAACTCTAGGTCCAGTTGATATGGTCAAGACAGTCCTGCGAAAAGAAGAAGAACAAGAAGAAGAAGAAGAAGGAGGAGGAGGAGGAGGAGGAGGAGGAGGAGGAGGAGGAGGAGGAGGAGGAAGAAGAAGAAGAAGAAGAAGAAGAAGAAGAAGAAGAAGAAGAAGAAGAAGAAGAAGAAGAAGAAAAGGAGGAAGGAAGAAATGAAAGGAATGGTCAGTGGGACGCTGTGGCTTCTGCTTGGTACATTTGATTTTCCCTTCATGCCTTTGCCCTTCAGGAATATTTCTCTGAAGCAGAGAGGTGTCCAGCCTCTGTGGCAAGGAATCACGCCAGCTCCTGTCTCCACAATAATTCTTATCACTCTGCTGCACCTCCTTGCCTCTGTTACCTCCAGAAGAGGGAATGTTCCTTGTAGAGAAGGCTCGTCAGTTTTATCTCTAAATCTGTAGCACAAAACACAGTGCCTGCAACAAAGAAGGCCAGTGTCTTGAATAAATAATAAATCAATGCTAGTTTCTTGGGTGAAAAAAAAGCAAAAAACTTCTATACAGAGAAATCAAATGAAATTCCGCAGAAACCCAGGTTTCCTCTTCAACACTCAAGCATTGCTCTGTATTCTTTGAAAAAATAATATTTAAAGACAAAAGATAGAAGACTTAAAGATTTAGAAAGTGGCACAGGTCCTCATCACATACTGAGTATTAATTTTTACACTAAGAGATGATGGTTACGGGAAACACAATGGTAAGCATTTTTAAGGAAATTGGCTAGGGGATCACATGACATTATTTAGACCAGAGCATATTCCAAAAGGAAACCACCTTGCTGCTTTGAAGCCAGCACCCCAAAGGGAGAACAGATTCTGATCGCATTCTGATGACAGCTGGCTTTTTTATGCCCTCACAGAGGACTGAGATTCATGGGAAGGGGATACGACTTTAGCATGATCTTTTTCATCGTGTGTGTGTGTGTGTGTGTGTGTGTGCACGCGCGTGCGTGCATGTGTGTGTGTGCATGTGTGTGTGTCTTAAATGGTCTCCCAAGAGCTGATTCCTGCTTTTTCTTTGTGTGCTTTAATGTCAGTTAGCTCAGTATAGTCATAGTTGTCAAGATGAGAGAGAATTACTCTTTTAGATTTAGTTGTTTTTTCCCTCTTAACCTTTCTTTCACATCAGCTATTTCCATAGCTAATAAATGTGAAACTGTGAAAATTGCTTTGATCAATTATGTATTTAGGTTTTTCATAAACATGCTGATTTTATTACTTATAGAAACGATTAAGAACACATTTGTGTAGAATTTCCCCTGTACTATCCCCAGGTGAATTCTTTCTGTTTGCAGATTGTCCTATTTACTGATTTTTATGAGAATCTTGCATATATTTTTATTTTCATGGAATAAATAAAAATGTAGATATTGTTTAAAAAATATTTTCAACATCCTGATCTCCAGGCTGATAAATAATGGTTAGAAGTGTTGCAAAGTCTCTATTTCAAGACGAACAGGTAATTCTCTACCTCCTCTGCCATTCCAGATTGTTCTCAGGGGTGTCTGTAGATGGCAGCAACAATGTTGCGAATTTTGCTCACAAAATAAACCAACAGCGTAATTAAAACAAAAGGACAAATTAAAAATAGGTTCATTGCCACGTTCAAAGTACTGTATATTTAGCTTTAGGCAACAGATTTATTTTAAAGACAAAACCAGAACAGGCGCGATGTGCATCTGGGGAACGAAATTAGGTAACCTCCCAACACGAGAGAGAGGTAATACAGTGCCTTATATTTTCTACGACCAGCTTTAGGCAGCAAACAATGGGAGGAACTGTAAATGACTCCATTTATATCAAGGAGGCTCAAAGACACATGGACAAATCGTGATGTTTCAAGTTGTGTTTTGCTTTTATGTCTTTGCAGTTCTATTTTCCAGAGCAAGGAATTCAGAATGCCGAGCACATACAACCTGCAGATTCAGATTACACAGAAAACTCAAGTGCAACATGAAGAAGAGAATACCCTGTAATAGTTTTTTCTCACCTTATTTTAGGCAATGGTATTGTCTGTAATTTAGGTAGAAGGAAATAAGTTTTGTTTTCCATCCAGTATTAGGAGCGGTGTGTGCTTTGCCAGAGCACAACCTCCAGCCTCCAATTTTATTGAACAGATTGGGCGATGGGGCTGGGAAGCAGTTGATTCTGCACTGCTAATTTCAAAGGTGGGTTATGGAACTATTTTCTAGTGGCTCATTTAGAGGTTGGGAAAACTGACTTGTAAGTGATAAGGTAGATGCAAGTTTCTGAGAAGTTCCAGGTAGAAAAAACCACACTAAGCACTGGTAGCCTAGAAATGAACCCATTCCAAGATATTTAATGGTCGTCTGTAATGTGTGTTATTTTGGTATGGATCACATGGAACATTTTAAAACTATGTAAAAGGAGACCATTCTTGTCACTAAAAAGGAATTACTTTTTTAGAGGGTAGTTTTCCTGCAATATGCTGAATTTCAAACACTGGTTGTGGGGTCAAATTGTTATCTCTTGTATACTAATCACTGGCACCCTCTGAAACACAATCCCAACGTCTGTCTACTGCGTCAGGTACATTAAGAGTGGCTGCTTAGCCAAATAATTCCCATTTTTGATGCTTCTCTTACGTTTGGAATACTTATGATTACAGTGGAAGGAGAAAGCAGGACCATTTATGAACTCTGAAAAGGAGTGAGGGGGGACAAGGGGCACGGTATTAGCAGGCACGGTGCATTGCACGCTCACGCTTCCCAGATGCCCGAAGGGGTTCAGGGACAGCTGGCATCTTTGCGTCTCTTCAGCTCATCTTGATAGATTGTCCTGTTTCCATTTTGCTGATGAGTACAGGATTGGGGTGGGCAAGTGATATAGGAAATACGAAATCAAGTTTGGAGAAGAAAGCAGGTGGTGGGTTGATTTTCTTCCTTTATCTAACTAGAAATGATAATGGGGGTGGTAAATGCCATTCAAAACAGACAGGAAAGACGTAATTCTTCTATGTTGCCCAGAAAGAGTGGATCACAGCAAAGTATGAGCAGTACATTGGAAATATAAATGGATAGCAGAAAAGAAACAATTATTAATTCCTATTATTACAGATTGTTTGGTTTTGCCTTGTTTTTGCATCGGTTGTGGATCATCCTGAGGAAAAACGGATATGCAAAATACTGCACACATGTAATGCGTGGTATTTGATGAATGTGAACACTTGCAAATACTCATGACACCATTGCCACAGTGGAGGGAATAGAGATTAATGCTGTTAAAAAAAAGGAGGTAAGTTGAGGTGTGACTCTGTCTTATAGTTTTTCAGTAAATGTCAGAAGTTTTATTTAGGAAACAAGAAGGATGAAAATTAGAAGGAGGAGGCAGAGTTGGAGGAGGAATATTAGGACTCCTGTAACAAAAACACTGCATACTGTGGTAGCTTATAATACAAACCTTTTTTCTCACTGGTCTGGAGGTTAAAAAGTCTTATTAAAGGTACTGAAAGGTTCTGTGTCTGCTTCTGCTTCTGTTCATTTCCTAGTCGTTAACAGCCATCTTCTCTCTGACTATACAGAGGTAGAGGGTAGGGTAACAGAAGGGGTGGGGGAGTTCTTCATGATTTCTTTTATTCTGTTCATGTAGATTCTAGTCTTAATGTCTAACTTTTTTCTAAAAATACTATTCCCTGATTCATTGCCTTGGAATTTAGATTTGGATTTTCGAGGAGATACAAATGTTCAGTCCATTGCACGGGTTTATGTGCTGTCCTTACAAACATAAGAAACAATTCTTCAGTGTTACCTCAGTTCATGAATACTTTTGTTTGCAATTTGGTTCACAGAAACATTTAGCACATTTTTTTTTGTTTGCAAATCCTATATCAGTGTCAAACATGAGTGTAGCCATCTTTCCCACACAAACAAATGTGGGCATCTTTTCCAAAATCATAGAACAAATTAAGTTCAAGACCCTAGGTATCACTCTATTTTTATATGTAGTAGTATTTGTATATTTTGTCAAGGAATTGCTGAAAGATGTGTTACTTCCATATATTTTTTGGAAGAATTCACTTGTATATATACAACACACAGAACTTTTATTATGAGTAAGACATTTTCTCATGGGCAAGATTTTAAATACATATAATGATGCTGTGTTTGTTCCATCACAGGAGAATCAGGGGAGACACGCCACAGCTCTGTGTACATTGTTGGCATCAGTGTGTGATTTCTGCAAGCTTCACAGCTAAGGTAGGATACAAGTGATGGATGGAGGCCAAGTTCAAATTGGAGTTCAATATAGAAAGTTGCCAGGCAGATGCTCTGTAGACTCAAAGTCCAGAAGGCAAGAGGGTGTATTAAGTTTGAAGAGTTCAGCTGGGAGCCCAGAGTTGGCAGACACAGGACTTAAGAGCGAACAGGTTGGGAGCACAAGAAAGGCTCTGAGCATCCTCGGCAAATGGCTTTGGGCAAATGAGATGCCGCTTTGTCAGTCTGTGGGTGGTGATGCAAAAAGCAACCGGGCTGCCAGGAAAAGCCCACTCTTCTCGGAAAGCCGAAAGCACATTAACGTCACAGGCTGCTCAGAACATTTCAGTCACTTTTGGGAACTGTGGGATTGAATTTCCACCTTGGCATAGTCTCCTATTTTGACACATACTGATTTGATATAAATTGTCATCTCCCAGAGACAGCCTGACAACAAATATCGCTAATCATTTCACTCTGAACCATGCCTAGATGGTGGAGAATAATTAGACACACAGCAGTTGGAGCCTTTACATTATAATGTTGTCAGAAATTATTGCTTTGAAGGGGAAAAACTATTAGAGATGGAGATTTGCTGAGGACTGTGAGAGGCAGGGGGTCTCTTATGTTTTTTTCTTAAAGCTAAAAAATTCCTATAAAATCCCTACTTAACTCGCATTCTTAAGCTAGAGACCAAGCCTTTGAAGAATAGTCTTACCTTAGAAATCAATCCACAGGGCATCTCTAGGATCAGAGGAAAAGCACGGCTCCAAGAGACCCAGTGCTCGAATTTGTTGATCCATGTGGACCCCAGCGGACTTGCAGCAGGGAAAGTAGGCTAGAAGAAGAATTTGGAGTCTTTCCCCTTCCCTAAATGGATGCCTTTGGGAGTCAAAGGACGGAAGCTTTTCGTGGCGATGCTGGGACCTCATGCTTGCTTCAGTTGCATGTACACCGACCGGGGACGGGGACTGTCCCCGTGCTGAGTCACGGTCTGAGGAGAACACACAGATGGGTCGTCTCTCCTTTTTGTGGTTGATACATAGCAATTATGTCATGCCTGACATCCCGGGAGGTCATCATTTGGAAGAAAAAAGTACTTTTCTCTCTCTAGTAAGATAAAAGCTGTGATGTATCTGGGGAAACTGAGGGCAAACACATGCTCTTCCTCTCCTGCTTCTAGGAATGGCTGTCTGTGTCTCCAACATGCTGTGAACTGAGGCTTGGTTAACTACTGTCCTTTTCTTGTCTTCTGTTTCTTTTTTTTTTTTTTTTTTTTAGTTAATAGTTTGCCTTCATTGAAAACCAGCTTTCACTTAATATCCTAATTGCATGATCTCATATGAGTGGCTGGTCACACAATATTTAAACATTTTTGAACTCAAAAATCAAATTTTGTAACATTACTAATAAAGGCAACTTGAAAGAGTCCAAGTTTCCTAAGCTTCTGACAACACCCAAATGTTAAAATATTTCCAAATTTGTGTCACATAGATTTTTTCTTCTGGAAGTTTTTATATTCGCACAATGATTATGTCTTCCCCTGTCAGTTTCCTAAGTGTGTCAGTGTGGGTAAGATAACAGACCCAGAGTGTTACCTGCTACCTTTCACCCTTTGGGGCTGCTCGCCTCTCCCCTAATCACTTCTGACCTGGTGGTCTCTGAATTTTTTCCAGCGTACTTTCCAGCGTACTTCATGAGAATCATGATGGTATGCTTTCAAGACGTAAGTAATAGAAGCTATTATGTTTAATTTCTAAGATATTAAGGTTTTGAAAAGGAAATTAGAATGCAGAAGAAGATCTTAAAAATAGAGATCATTAGGTATGACAGACTTTAAAATTTGTCATCCACACCCCTTCGCAGGAGTTTCAACTGTCATTTCTGACACAGGACATGGAGATCTTGAACACCAACTCCTTCAGAATATGCCTCCCTTCCCCGTCTCTCATTCCCAAATTTCAGGGTCTTCTGTTCTGGCTTCTACAAGTCTATGATTTCCTAATTTGAAACAAATTCTCGTTTATAGCATTTTCTTTCTCCTTTTGGTCTCATTTTTAGATTGTTTTAAAACTAGTCTTTTAAAATGCCCATTAAATATTTTTCCTAATAAAAAGATAAGTGAAGTTAATGAACAGGTGTTTCACTGTTAGAATAATAAGATCAGTCAGAAAAACTTAAGTTGGCATTAAAAGGAGTGATTTTTACATGTCTTCTGCCTAATGCCAATAACAATTACAGTAGTAAATCACTCCAATTCTAGCTGTAACCCCCAAATATCAACCACTATTTCTTTGCAGCTGGAGGCTTCTTTTTGCATCTCCTACCTGGTACACTCAGCAGTTCCCAAAGCCGCACGTGGTCCTCTCCGGGGCTTTGGAAGGTTAGTGGATCACGGAGGTCTGATAACCATCAGTCCACTGCTGAGTTTATCGGTGAATGTGATCTGGGGGGCCAGACCTGGTGGGAGGAAGTGGGTCAGAGCGCAGCGCTCAGAAGGGTCCGTGGCCTTTCTCCTTGATCTTCTTCCCCGTCTCCCTCCGTCACGCCATGAACTCTGTCCTCTGCCACCCTTCTCTGCCATGATACAATATCTAAGTTATTTTGATTCAGTTCTAACCTTCTTTAATCTATTGCAATCATTTGTTTTACTTACTACATTTCACTTTGAATTTTACTTTTTCAAAGTGTTGCCTATGAATTTTCTCTCTCTCTCTCTCTCTCTCTCTCTCTCTCTCTCTCTCTCTCTCTGTAATTGTTAATCTTCCCAGGTGTACTGCCACATGGTTTTATGTATCACACTTTAATTTGAATACATTTTTATTTGAACAGGAAGTCTTTGGTCAATAGAGAAGTTAATCTATTTAAACCTATTGTGGATATGATTAATGTTTTCTGACTTAGTTCCTACTATTTGTTTATTTTATGTAAAATTGTCTGTTATGGGATACAATGTGATGGTTTGATCATGCATACATTGTAGAACTGCTTACCTTTTGTTTACTTATTTTGTTGTTAATTTCTTCTTTTATGTGATAAATCAAATTACTGCTTTATTTTCTCCCTATGGTAGCTAATCAGTTATACATACTTCAATTATCCTGCTACTGATGATTAAAATTTGTAATATACATTTTCAATATCACTTTAAATAATATATAAGATTATATGATAAAAAAATATATATATATATAGCCATATCTGTATATATCTTCCCCTCCATAAGAGGCTTGTAACATTAGTATTAATTCCTCTCTTTCATCACTTTCTATACTGAGATCATTTCATATTTTATTTCACAATTTGCTTCTTTACATGACATAACATGAAGTTTTAGTATTACAAGTATGTTTTTGTTTATTTATATTGTCTTTTTGAGGCACAGTTTCACTGTGCAGTTTAGGTTGGCCTTGCACTCACCTTGTAGCCCAGGCTGATCTTGAACTAGCAGCTACCCTCCTGCCTCAGCCTCCCGAGTGCTGGGATTACAGGCACGTGCTACCATGCCCAGCCTGTTATTAGTATCTTAAGTCTTACATGTTATTTTTCCTGCATTTACTTTGATTGGGTGTTATGTGGACCCAAGTAATTATTTTGGAGTCTTTTGGTAAAAAATTATGAATATTCATGCTTGAAAATTTCTTTCCCAGCTGATTTCTGTCTAGCTATAACTTTTGAAATCATTTTTTAAGGTTTGAAATCATTTTTTCTCACATCTCTATAGGAATGATTCAATTACTAATTACCTTCTCAAATCTATAATACTGATAATGATTTATTTTATTTTTTTAACATGACTACAAATTGTTTTGTCTATGAACGTGTTGTGGGCTTTCTCATTTTATTGATGTTCCAACATATAACAACATATTTAAATATCATTTTTTGAAGTTTTATTCCACTTATTTTCTTTGGAATTTGGTACTTATTTTAATATATAAGCTTACATTTTTCTTGAATGTTAATTGTCATTTTCCCTCATTATATTCTACATAAATTACATTTGTTCTTTTTTTAAAAAAATGTATTAAATATAGTAATACACACACACACACACACACACACATATATATATCTTTTATATCACTTAACTTTTTGTCACCTACTTTCTTTAACATGTTGTTTCTGGGAGAATTTCTGGGCTCATTTTTCTAACTCTTCAAATTTGTTCCTTAGTTGCACTGCATAAATATAATTAAACTAAAAATGTATCCCAAGATGTGGCTGTGGTGGCACAGAGGATGAAAGATTATGAGAGATGAGATGTTCATTCAGGTACCAAGAGGCCTGGAGAGACTGCTTCTTCCACCCACGAGAGCTCTAGGGGAGCAGCAGCGGGCTGAACCCTCTGAGTTTATTTATTTGTAACCCAAGAACAGGAGAGCAGAGATGCAGACGAAGTGCCTTGCAATACTTTTATGTAGCAATTTTGGTCAGAAGTCAGGGATGGAATGGGGTGGCTTTATTTCATGACACATGTTGACCTAGGTTAAGCAATCTTATCAGGGAAAGGGGAACTAGACAGCCAGAGCAAACATCTCCAGGAATAACTTAATGTTGATTCTGCTGACTGTGGTCCTGTGGAATCTGCCCTAACCTAACCATGTTTTTGCGGAACCTGAGAACTACTGTTACTAAGGTCTCTTCATCTTTACAATCATTTCAGTCACTACTTCCGCCAGAGTTTCTTCATAATATCCCTCTAGAAAACATCTTGTAAGAGTGGAAGAGAAAGGAAATGGTGTTGTTGAGTAAACATTATATCAGAATATTTGATATATATGATATATATGTATTATATATAATATATACCATATATATATATATATATGTATATATATATATATATATATATATATATATATATATATCTCACATGCATGTGTGCTTACACAACACACACCCTGCTAAGGATTTCCAAAAAAAAAAAAAAAAAGATGAAGCCCCATCCTTTTACATAGCCCAGAAGATACACTCACTGTATAAAGGTTCCTAGAAAACCAGTCATCTTCATATAAAAGCACATACAACACCGTTTGCCACAGAAAATTTACCCTAAATTCGCCAGATAATTGAGATACCTAGTTGGATTATTCAACTACTTTTATCCAATGAGAAAAATGACTTCATCCAGATTTTCATATCTTTATGACAGAAGGTAGGTAGGTAGTTTTGCAGCTTGATGGGTCAACCACGTGAGTTACATTCCTAGTGATCTGGACAATGCGGATTACCTCTTTGGAAGTGTACATTTAAGTGACAGGTCGAAGATAGTCTTCAGAAACACATTCCTGGAGGTAAATTTAGAGTCTTCTTTAGCCTTATACATAACGATGAGATAAATGATTCCTAACTACATAATTTCTAAAGTAAATATTTTAAGAAAATGGAGGAAGAAACTTTTCTCTTGTTTTCTACAATAAGAACTAAACCTCTCATTTTTAACTTGTCTTTGCTTTTAAAGTTGTAAATTTACTTTTCATTTTCCAACATCTCGAATAACTTTTTGTTTGTTTTTGCTTTTTGTTAGCTTAGTGTCCTGCTCTCATTTCGTGAATATACTCAATAATTGGCTGAAGTCTTCTGAATGTGCATTTTGACTTCACCTGTGCTTGGAGTCTTGATTTTTTTGCAGCCTATTGGGTTTAACTTGGTCCTTTTCTTTCATGGATACATATTTGAAGCTCACTAAGCATCATTGTGAATGGAAGTTTCAACTCTAGGAGTTCATCCTAGGTAATGCTTACCAGAGAAGGAAATGCTGATGATTGGTATTTACGAATCATTTGAAGTCTTTATTTTTTGAGGAATCCTATACTTCTTGGATCATGAAACCATTAGAGACTTTCTCCACTAGTACCTTGTTTTATATTCCTAGCATAAGCCATGATCACTGTCAAGCAGGAACTGAAGGCAGGGAAGTGCATGGACCTCATAATGTCCAAAACGTATTCATAGCAAATTTCTTGACAATTCTTTTGAGGGCATATCCAGCTTCTGTGTCACTTGGGTGCAAGTGCAAGTCTCTGTGACTAATACAATCAGTTATCTGCCTGTACCCTTTTATGTGCCCTTTATTTCTATCTATGAGGATGTTAATTTTGAGGAGCTAAGGTGTGGGAGTCTAGCCTCACAGTTTAATGAACTAACCAGGCTCTGTTGATTTTATCTGTGCTTGGTCAAGAACTGCAGCACAGATTTAACTGTAAAGAATGTATGAACTAAGGCAGAGTCCCAGTGATTCATGGAAAGATTTTTTTCTTTGCATTATAAAAGAAATATTTGTACTATATTCAAGGGGGACATGTCTCTGCTCCTCTTTCCCTCTACTTAGAAAGTTTTATGCGACAAGTAGTGCTATGTATGACTTTCCTGTGAGCAGAGAAAGCCAAGAACAAGCCCTTGAAGGTCTGTGTTGCTGTGATGGAT